ATTTTGACATTTTGACTTTTTACTAAAATTTATTGTGTAATTTGCCACCGATTACGCAATTGAAATATATCGTATACCTTCTATAAGACAATTGGGTCAGTTTTTTTTTTATAAAACTAAATTAACAAACGAACTAACAGTCCAGGCAGAATAATATGGTAAGAGCTACTACAGTCCATGGATACATGCGGCTAACATGCTAAACAAAGAAGGTTACATATGCGCTATCACTCACTCACTGGCAGTGGTTATACTGGCTCTCTATATACTTCAGACCGGAACACTTGCACTGCACTACTGTTCAGCGGCGGAAATATGTACGAGGGTGGTATGTACCCAGACGAATCTAGAATATGCTCATATAGCTGAAGTTATCGTTATTTTGGAGTAGTATTTGGACAGTGTGTTGTGTTGTATAACATTTGCATTTTGGCACCGTTCTTGCAAGTAATACAAGATATTAATTCCTTTGCAAATACCGCTATTTTATGCTCGTAGAACAAAGTAAAAGTCAATGGTGGCAATACGTAGTTTCTTTTATGGTATTTAATATTAGAAGTACTACTCGTGTGTACTATTGATATTATAAAAGTATCAGCTCAGGGAACGTAGCGTACAATGAGGAATTAATTGTATTTACCTATCCATGAGTGTTTAAGAAAACAAGCATTGTTGTGTTCACCTTGACAACTGACAAAAAAATGATAGGCTTTTCGAAGATCCCTAATTCGTGTCGGTTTGGGAAAATCGCTGTAACAGCATAATAGTAATTGTAACAGTGTAATGGCTGAATCTATAATTCTTCTTAATAACTGGCTTTACGGCTCTGGGTTCTAGCCCTTCTGAGCTTGAAGTTACAATGTATAAAAATTATCCTTCATAGTACACTGCTTCACAATATGTTGATGCGTCACATTGTGGAGCCCTTGGGAGATTTTGACGGCAACTTGAGCCAGCAGACAGCTGACAGTTGGCGATGGTATATCAAGGCGCCTAAGCAGACATATACCTTATCTTGAAAATCACATCACCTTCAGAGCACTTGTTTCACCGTTTCCACTAATAGTTCACATGCGTAGACATTTAATACACAAAATCGCACCACTTTTACATATCAAAATCCACTTCAAACCATTATTTAAACAATAATACAGGAGCAGCAATCCGTCGCCGGTCAAGTTCCCGCCAAAACTCCTCTGAATCTATAAGGTACACGTGCTAGTAGGAAATCTTCTGCAGTGCACAGTGATGGCCCAAGAAGTGTCAGGTAGTGTAGATAATTTCGAGAATTTTATTGCGATGTGTGATGGTGAAACTTTGTAGCTGGAATTAAGTTTAAGGTGAAGGAGCTGGTACTGCTGCTCTGGCCTAGAGATACGATCACTATTCTATACTATAAAGCAGACCTTGAGCTTTGTAAAGGTACCGGCATGAAATACTTACCCGCTCTACTGAGCACTCAGAGGTTTTTAGAGACCAATTTGGCCTTCCCTTTCAAATGACTGCGGAGCTCATGTCGACGCCAAAGATTTTAATGTTGGCTGAGGCAACAAGGGAAGTTCCGTAAAATTGAAAAGATACGACATAGGAGTTCGTTGTTGCTGTGTTTAGTACATAAATCACTTTTCTCTCTGATCCCTGGACAGCCGCAAGTCGAGCAGGGCCGACTGAATCTGGATTTGCTCTGGAATTGGAACCGGTTCTTATGCTATCACCTACCCTGTTACTGCCGCATATCATGATATGTTGCGAATCAATAACATTCATTGCTATGGAGATGGCAGCACTGGTGATGAATTAAATTGGCACAAAACTTGTGTCTGACGTAGTCTTTTTATAAATCTAGTCCAGTTTAATGCTCGGAAGGCATAGGGACCTCTATTAAAAAGCCTTTAGTATTTAAATACACTAATTTAACTGCTTACTCGTGACGTGTAGCTACAGCTACTTAACTATTACAATTAGCACACTGAGACGACTCCATATTTATGAGCAACTAAGCGTGCCCTATCACACTCTAGTTAAATTATCGTTAAAGCGCGTTTTAGAGGTTGTGTTTTTCAGTATATTTTATCGGCGTCATTAATCAGTCATTAAATATCATTACTTATTTTGTCGACGACAGAAAACATTTCTGTATTTTTATCAGCTTAAATATCTTTTAAAAATCGATATCTACTACACTTACCGCATGGATGGTTTTTAAATCACTATTTTTTTATCGCTTACTTTTTAATAATTTATTTTAGAGACGAAATTATTAGGACTAACAGCTGTAACATCCACGGCAGAAAACATTCTAAGAAAATAAAAATCGCTACGAATTTTTATTTTCTTAATTTACTGAGTTTGGAAAAGTCCGGGTGAATTAAGGGGTATTTTATAGCCTTTGTTTCTTTTGACAACGAATGTTTGCAATTATAATCACAAGACTTTTGCTTTTCCGTCAAGTTTCGAAGCCGTCGACAATATTCCTTTTGTTGTTTTTATTAATGTCAAAAATATTAATACCCAGAATAAAACTTCCGAACTCCGACTAGACGCATATTATAAACACAATGGAACATCAAAAGCTTTGTTGATCACGTAGTTTTCCTAGCAGTATGAACGACACTTTACAGGATTTCTTTGGAAATCTTAAATCATGCCTGTACGAAATTTCGTCGGTGTGTTCACGTTGTTTTGCTTCAATTTGCGAATTGCTTCCGCTCGAGGCTGTTCGATGGCATTGAAACAACATTACCCTTGTCGCTTGATTGACATAATAAGCGCGACGTCTAAGGTAACCCACATAGAAGTTACCTTAGACGTCGCGCACTTAGGCTCACCTTTTAAGATGTATCTTTTTTCACACTCGCTTCGCTCACGGATGTGTGATTTAATCCCCCTTGGCCCACATTCATAAAATGCAAAGCAAATACGAGTATGCCTATCTTGATCAAACGAATAGCAAAATGAGACATGTCTTCTCTTTCGAATAAAGCATTAACTAGTGCGAGCGTACATAAATCGCATTTAGATATGGCAATTCATCGGTTTTACAATCAACGGTGTTGCTATTTTAATAACGTGTCGCACGGGCTCAATGAATGTCAATTGATAAACACAATTGCTTGGTGACCTTGGCGGAGTGTTCGATGCTAAAACTGATTGTCGTTCTGTAGTTATTTCAACATGCATATGCATCCCAATAAACTAGCTTATTGTGATATAGAATCCACGTCTTGATATATCCACTCTATTAGAAACTCTTAGAGCTTAAAAAATCTAGATCGATTCCGAATGCAATCAAAGTGCAACAACTTTATTAAATCGATATTGAAATCGAAATTAAACCGAGTTAGATTGGTTGGTACCTATTTATAAAACTGCGCGGAAACTTTCCCCGCCGCGACGCGCTAATCGCTGACGAGAGACAAATATGCAGTTACGAAAGCTGTGCCCGCTTATATGGCGTCGACACTTGTATCGGTAGTGCCTTGATCTAATAAGTGATTTTCTCATTGCTTTATTACCGCCCTTTAATATGTTTTCATTCCAGTAGTTTTTCATTTCTAATAAATAACATATATTGTAGACTAGCCATCCACCCCGGCTACGCCTAGGTGTATTAATGTTTTTTTCTCACAAGTCACTCGCAGTAGGGACTTGTTGAAGCGATGGCCTATCTTTTAGGTGCTTTATATATAGGCCAATTTTTTTTAATATTATGACGTGTACTCGTCCACGTTTGTCAATAAATACATACAACATAAATGTGTACATTACAATCATTAGAATTCCAAAATGTGTGAAACACAACAAAAAGAAAACGTTTTATTTTTGTTGTGTTTCACAACCATGGAAATTCTATAATAAAGATTCATAATTACTACAAAAATTTAATTCATAAATTGTATGCGACACTGTTAAAAACTATTTCTTAACTCTTGAAGGTTTTCTTTTGATGCTTTTGAATTGATTAATGAATCGTCGCCCTTTAAAGCGTATTTCACTTGCAAAGCAGAAGTCAAAGCGACGATTAAAACTAATTCACATGTCGCTTGAATCTTCTTACACAACCGTTTATATTGTCTTAAATATATGATTAATAGCGGAACTATTAACAGTTTTTGTTATACATTATGTCATAGTAATAAATGCGAAAATAAGTACATAGGCTTTTAAAAACAATAATCATTAATGAATTTAAATTCTATCGCATTTCTTTGTGGCGCAAGGCGTCTTTCTAAGAGGGTACTTAGCTGAAAAGGTTTAGTCGAGCCAATTATAACGTTCTAATTTGGATTTTATAAAAATGTTTATTCTAATATTAGGAAGTGTGCTTATTAAAACACAGGGGTTTGAAGTTAAGTGGCGGCGTTAAAAAATCCATAACCCCAATTCTTCCCTTGAGTGTCGTAAGAGGTGACTATGGGAGTACCAGAAAGACCTTACGCCATCCGATAGATGGCGGTACAACCATTTCGTTTACGCCACATTTTGAATATTCAGACCGGTGACGGTAAGCATTGTCAAAGGTGCGAAACGTCTTCTACTACAATCGTCAATTCGCATTTCAAGCGTGACGATTATTACAAAACTTCCGGTTAATCTTCCGTACAACGTTAGAGATCTATGTCCAGCTGTGTTCTCTTAATGGCTTATGATAATGAAGGAGAATAGTAGGTTAACTGCTTCTACATCTCGGTTTTATTAAAATGTAACAAAGAGTTAACATTACGTAGTTAGTTACAAGGTGATGAATTTACATCAGATATGTTTTAATTTGATTCATATCGTTGAGATTAACATGTTCTAATGTTGTCGTATCTTTTACACATTCATGATTAATAATATGTTTTACATTCTATGACGGAAAATCGTTAAAACTATTTAGAGATACAGCTTTAACTTGCCTTTGAAATAACTAACGCGGATATTGCCCCTGATTTATCGGTTTTGCCACACAAATGCATTGGGAAATAAATTCACTCTGAGTAATCGCTATTATTTTTTAGGGGTGCGAAGTCAGTATAATAAAATCAAAGTAATACCCATTCACGTTTAAATTTTCGAACAATGGTTGACATTAATAGGCAATTTCCGTAAGTGAAGTGTGTGTTAGTGCTAGTTAAGTTAAACGATGAGTGGTGGAGAGCCGACGCTGACGGAGTCGCCGGTGCCGCTGGCGCTCGCGAGGCTGGCGACGCGACCGGGGCGCGCGCCGCGCGGTCTGCGCACGCACCGCCCCAGCCTCACGCTCGCCAGCCTGCAGGAGGCCGCCGACGAAACCCCGCGCCGCTACAGCGACGAATCCTTCGCACCGGATACCGATGACGACGAACCATTCTACGATGCCATTGTCCAAAACAAAACGTCTAAGACGGCATCCGACGGGCGCAGAGCTTCCGAAGCTGCGTTTGCCGAACGATACAGAAAACTGAACGACTTTGACGGCCCACCGCCCGAGGTGCCCCGCCGAGCGTCCCTGGCCGTGCCCGTCGGTGACGGCTTCGGACCCAGTGACAAAGGCAGGAGACGCTCTTGGGCGGCAAAGCTGCAGCTTGAGCGCAAGAAGAGAAGAAAATCAGGCGACAACGATACCGACGACGAGAACGATGCTCCGGTTTATATAAGACAGAAGAGGCCGTCCTGGTGGAACGTTTTCGTACCTGATAATATGCTCAAAAATAGGTATATCTTATTTTTATTCTTTTTCTATTATTGCAATAATTTATCATGTGTGAAATCAATGCTACATTTTAATCAAGTTGCTTGCATCTATCTCATTTCTAGTGAGACATTTTGTCAGCGAGCCCGGCTACTCATGAATAATGAATCAGTTTGCTACTGCGGATAGATCTTTTAAGGCAACGCTTACGTACCTTTTGATGTGCGTGTATGGGATTGAAATGGAAATGTATGTACACTGCACTATGATACTAGAACTCCTTGACCCGGTGCCCTAAGTCCGATTGTTAATGTTCAATTACTGAACGTGCTTTCCGTCAGGGTTGGTTACATTTGTAAGATTTGCTCTCGTTTATTATTAGTCGTGTTAGTTATCATTTTATTAACTCAATTGATTAGTCAATACAATCATGTGTTCCATGGATTCAAACTATACAAACAACTTAACAATGATTAGTGAAGTAGAAATTAGTGTAGACTAAAAAAATAGTAAGCAGAAATAAAAGACCTTAATACAGCACCGGGTGTAATATTGCGCACATTTTATTTTTTATTTGGTTTGTTTTCTTATTCAAATATTGGTAATATTTAAATTTAAAAATATGTACATAAATCTGGTGCAGCAAACTAAGTACAAATTTTTTTTTAATGAAGTTCTTTTACGCGGCTTACAGTAGATTGAACTGGCAGAAATCGTAGTTGTTTTATGAATTTTTCTCAAATCCTGAGAATCCTGGCAAGGGGACAAACTATTTAAATTATTGCATTGTCATCCGTCCTTGATAAGTGTGCGAAGTTTCAAATCAATCCGGCGTTTTGAAGCGGATGTAAAACACATTCGAAAAATACCGTTGAACATAGATACCAAACTAACAAAAGCGTTTTAAATAGTCGTTTCTATGAAAAAAAAATAATGATTCATGAAATCTAATAAGCATGCGAAATGTGCACTTTTCAATTTTCCAAACATTTTTTTAATCCACTCAGACATGCAGGTCTCCTAACGATGTAATTTTCTTCCCCGCCGAGCACGTAGTAAATCAGCACCTAAAATTGCATTTACAATTTCATTGAACTCGCTTTGCTCACGTGCTTTGAAATTAGAGCGAACGCTTACCCTCTGAGGTACTACGCCATAATTTGAATAATTAAAAATAATAGTAATGAACCATAACTAACTTTTCTTATGAAATGTGCATTAATTGCTATTCTCATTAAACTAATTTGCATTGAGATCCTTATCATAATATTTCTTACTTATATTCTAATTATAAATAACAGTGAAAAGGCAAAAATTCCACTGATGCTTCTCGTTTGTTCAACGTTTTGTTTATAGTTAGTATATTTGCGTGATATACATATATTTGTTACTTCCGTTATCATGAAAAACATATGTCAGACGCTATCAAGATTTATGTGAGCGTTGTTTCTTGCGTTATCGCTAATTATTTCGTTTTTATAAGCGATTTATACGGTGTCATTTTTATTTAATAACAAGCTGTTCCCCGCGACTTCACCCGCGTGTTTTTTGGGGTTTTAATTTTTTTGCGCGGAACCCTAATTCTTTTTCTAAAATAAAAGTAGCCTAAGTTATTCCTTGTGACATCAGCTATCTGCCAGTGAAAATCCCGTCAAAATAGGTCCAAAGATTTCGGAGATTAGCCGGAACAAACACATACAGAAAGACACAAAAATTAAAATGGTTTTGATTTTTATAAAAAAAAAACTTTTTTTTAAAGTTTTGTCTTCCTAATTCATATCTTTCCAAGGCTGTGATTTATCATGGGACAATAATATAATGTTATTGTTGTTCCTTAATACGCGTCCTTTAGTTTTTTTTCTCTAATCACGTAAAACAAAAATAGCAAAGGCACCTCACGTTTGGTTTTTATATAGGTACGTGCCTTCGTACTCGTCGCGCATATTCAAGTTGTCTATTAGATATGTATCGCATATAGAAATATCGTTTAGCAGTTGACGTCTGTACCGGTGATTACGCGATTTCTAAATGGCGTCTTCTAAGCTGCGGAGTAAATTTTATTGTTCCTAGTGAATCATAGGCTAGTACGATATTGACACAACGGAATGAGCTAACATAAAATAGAAAATAGAAACAGTCATACAACTTTATATCGAAACATTTTACAGCTTCATTTGCATAGACCTCCATCTTCGGCCCACTCGCATGAGTAAGTTCTGCAAATTGCTCGGAAATATTTTAATTATGATTCACGTTGCATTGTCCACACGCAAGTTATGACAAAAGTGGTGATATGGCAACACCGTTCATTGTGGTTCACAACTCACGTCGGCGAACATACCACGTCACAGGGCGGAATAGTTTCATCACACTTCGCGTGGCCTCCACGTTAGCTTCCGCAATCGTGCGTTCACCTTTATTTCTTTGTGTTGCAGGCCACTTACCTCTTGATCTGCTTTGTCCTTAGACTATTAATGATATACGAAAGTTGTCTTTACGTATTATCGGTATTTTCAAAGGGAAATATTTTCACTAAACCATAAAATTTTCACATTTATAGGTCGACGTTTGAGTTTTATTACATAACTAAGGCAACTACATGATGTCGAATTTAAAATAAATATTTTCAAATTTCAAATTTCTGTTCTCTCTTTGAATATTGCAACATTAATTTACAGCCTGTGATATTTTGTGAGAAGACACGCCAAAGTGAGTACGTAACACATATGTAGCGTTATTTGTTTGTACTTGCAGGTGTTCATCGACAATATTAGACATTTACCTTTAACTCCTTACTCTCTAATATTATAAAAGAAACTACTTCTGCTTATGGTACCTACAGTGAGTCCTAAAATTGTCATAATAAGTCTTACCTTTACCTAAATATAATTATTGAATAAAACTACGTTTACGGATTTTTTCGCGTTTAATTTACTTATTTATCATATTTTTATTAATTACCGACGTTTCGGGTGCTTTACAGCACCCGTGGGTTAACTCTGACCATCGGGACGTCAATCACCTCAGTCCCCTGTGACCACGTGACCCGTGAAACGCCGGGAATTAATAAAAATAAGACAAATAAGTTAATTAAACGCGAAAAAATCCGTAAAAGTAGTTTTGTTCAATGTGTAGTGTTCGCGTAAATATAAGAAATCATCAAATATATGTAGTTAAAGTAAAGCAATCCAGTGAAAACTGAAAACATGTTTATATAATCCTATAGTTTTCGTTTCTTTCAAAAACCAAAGAATTTAAACAATATTTTCAACTATTTCGATTTTATTTCAAATTTTTCAACAAAATAAAATAAATCTCAATTTCAAATTGTTAATTAGAATCAGAGGCAATATATATGTGTGTAACATTTACAGTCCTTTTCTAAAACTAGTTTTTTATCCTTCGTACTCGCGGTATTCCAGAGGCGTGTAGCAGAAATGCGGTGGTCTTGTTGTGCAAGAAAGGCGATAACGTTCTTTTGAAGAACTACAGACCATTTGTCTTTCTGAGCCTCGTACGTGTGCTGATTTCAGATTTGACGTCTTCTAACTTCTCGAACAATTCGGTTTCCGAAAAGCCTTTAATATAGACCTCATACACCCCCTTCGGGAAATAATATAGAGGGCCGAAGAGTGCAATCTGCTCTTTGACTAACGTAGGTATGCGTACTACGTGGTAGAGCCATGTTGCAGCTATATTATGGTTGTAGCTCTCCCAGAATACCAGCGTAAAATAATAGCTCAATGCTGCTGTGTTTCGCGTGGTGAGTGTAGAGAACCGGAGACCCGTTTTACTAGAAAAGTGGCATTCCATCTTAGTCCTCACGGGTGATAACGCATCTGCATTTTTATTTTTTATTGAGGATAGAAAAGATACGGTATCTGTAAATTATTTACCTTCGCCTTGCCGACGATATAGATAAGCTGGATTTAGTGCTCGACCGACGGTCAGCACGTACCGTACGCGCTGACGGTACGTCCTGATCGTCGGTCGAGGCCAAGCGTTTACTGCTTAACTGACGGCAAGCTTTGTTAAACGTGTACAATTACGAAGAAAAATGTATCCATTTGTTAACTCTATGATATGTGCATACTATTTACGCAAACGATTACGGCATAAAAGACGGAGAAGATATCATGTGCACCCAATAATTGTAGACCGTTTAATTGAAGGTGAATTTTGTTCATTGTATTCGAAATTGCGAGAACAATGTTCATGTATCAAAGTTCATTTTTGTTCGTGATAATGCGTACGCGCGTACGGTCGGTCGCTCTGTCAGCGTCGCACTGAACGCATGCATGTACCGCCATAGCGCGTCAGTCAACCGACGTACGCCAGACCGACGAGCTCGACCGACGGTCCTCGTACGCGCAACTTAGCCGTACGCGCGTAGTACTTCATCAGCGCTGCACTGTAGCCGTTAATAGGTTTTCATTGATATAGCTACGCTCAACCGATGTCAGCGCTCACCGTCGGTCGAGCACTAAATCCAGCCTTAGGACAGATTCACTGGAGGACCTTAGCACTATGCTTAATGATGTCAATAATGTCTCCTAACGGCTAGGTCTTAAGATGAACATGGACAAGACCAAATTCAAGTTTAATGTTCTAGTCACACCTATTGCTGTAGTTATTGGGAACAACTACGCTCGAAGTTGCTGGCGAGTATGTTTGACTAGGATAAATTGTCTGACTAGGTAACTTCGATCAAAGGGTCAATCGACAGATCTAACTCGACTGGACAGTATTTGTGACATTAAGGCATAATATATTTACGTCAAGTATTCTAACATTGAAAACAAGAGTACAACCAGTGCGCGTTGACATTGATGACATTTCAATCTGAGATATGGGCCTTTATTGCTGGCCGTATTAAGAAGCTGAAGATTGCTCATCGAATTCTGACTGCGGATAAAAATAGAGAATAAAGTTTTTAGACTAACTATTTAGTTGACATTTATTTATTTATTAAACTTTTAATTAAAAAAAGGCGACTCCAAATAACTAACATGATAATTTTTTT